TCCGACTTACGGCGAAAATTGCGTTACATCACGCCGTAGGAACAGATCTCCGATGTAACCCGAGGACCTACTATATTCAGTAGATCTACTGCTTCCCAGACTTGGTAGAGTCACCTTGTGTAGTAGGTGTCCTGTAGAGTCTAGTGCAGCCGTGGGCAAACTACGGCCCGCGGGCCGTATCCGGCCCGTTCAGCTGTTCTATCCGACCCACGGAGCCGAAAGAGCGGAGGGTTCTCTTGCTCTCCCCTCCACTCCTTCACCAGCAGCAGTATTAACATGTATTAGTTCACACAAACACTCCATCCATGCTTTTGTTCCGGCCCTCTGGTCCAGTTTAAGAACCCATTGTGGCCCTCGAGTCAAAAAGTTTGCCCACCCCTGGTAGTGGCTCAGCTATCCCAGACACTTGAGCTGGGAACTCCAGGTGCACCCTTGTGTGAACTGTGTGCAGTCCTACTGTAGTTGAGCCTTGATGTATGTCAGCCTCACTGGGAGGGACTGACCTGCAGGCCAATCCACTATAAGGAACAGCTGCAATTACAGTAGAAAAGCTGCTGTGCAGGAACTGAATGCAGCAGGACTTGCTTCAGTGGGGCTTTGGTGCTCACTGAGTCCACCCCTTGAATGTGACACTCGTGGAGGTGGTAGGGTTGTAATCTGGGTGGTCAAAGTTGACCACTGGCTGCACTGGCTCTGGGGCCTCCCAGGAGGTGCAAAGTCTGCCTGTGCCCTGTCCAGAGCCACCCAGCATGGGCTACTAAGCAATCTGCAGATGGCTACTACTTGTGTTGAGCTTGGAGGTGCCCAGGAGAGACCAAGCTGTGAACCAGGGTGGGCTGTAACTAGTGCTGGACCTGGGGCAAATTGAGAGCAACAGAGTACACTGATGCCAGCTGCTGCTTGTTTAAGAGATTTTAGTAAAGCCCAAAGCAAGAGGCAAAAGAGGCCAGTTGTATGGAAAAGCCACTGGAAATGGCTTGGATGACCCTGCAAGTAGGGAGGGGCGGGGTCTCAGAGAGCCACTGGGGCAGGGTGAAAAGTGTGAGCCAGGTTGATGGAGATTCAGATATGGCACAGCCTGTTAGCTCTGTGGCAGGAAGGGCTCAGCAAAGGAACACTGGCCTCTGCCAGCACTTCTATCTCGGAGAAAACTGTCCCTCCAGCTCTTGCCCTGATTCCACACAAGGTAGTTCCTTCCTCAATGTTCCAAGTTCCTTTCAGGCTTCTGCCACTGGAACACAAGGGAGTGAGTCTGAGTAAGTCTGTGCATAGGCCTTTTAAGGGGACCTATCTGTGTCTTCCACAGCCATGTCACTCAGCCAGAAGTTGTGGGGACTTCTCTTCCTGGCACTGGAACCCTGGGCTGGGGGCCTGGTGTGTGGCAGTGTCCTCTTGTTCCTCAGGGAAACCTCCACATCCAAGATATCCCTCCCAATTTTAAACCACCACAAATGGGTGTGGGAACAACTGGTTCTGCAATTCTGTCCGGTGTCTCCACCCCTTCTACCAGTCTTGATGTGCTTCTTTAATTCCCTAGTTCACTGGTTGGCAAACTGCGGCTCGGCAAACCACGGCTTGCAAGCCACATGCGGCTCGTTGGCCCCTTGAGTGTGGCTCTTCCACAAAATACCGGTTCTTCCACAAATACTGACTTCTGTGCATGGGCCATGAAGTTTCAATCGCACTGTACGTGCACGCCTGCATGTGGTATTTTGTGGAAGAGCCACACTCAAGGGGCCAAACAGCTGCATGTGGCTCGCAAGCCGCGGTTTGCTGACCACAGCCCTAGTTGTAGGACTTCTGTTCAGCTAGATTTCAGATGGTTCTGAATGATAGTTGTTCTGTATTTTACTTGTAAATTTTGATGTGGTTGTGGGAGGCTGCAGTACCACATTTCCCTATGCTGCCACCAGATGTGACCAGATGCTAGGTATCATCTTGATTCACCCTCTCATTCTCAAAATTAATTCCATTAGTAAGCCATGTCAATGGTACGTACCAAATACACCTTGATTCTGCCCCTTTTCTCCATTGCTACTGGTATTATCTTAGTAGTATGGGCCCTCATTTCTCAACTGGAGTCCTATAAAAGCCTACCTGGTTTCACTTCCACTATGCTACCCTCCAATCCACTTTCTACACAGCCACAAAAGTGACCTTAAAACATAAAGTGGAGCCGAAACCGGTTTGGCTCAGTGGATAGAGCGTCGGCCTGCGGACTGAGGGGTCCCGGGTTCGATTCCGGTCAAGGGCATGTACCTGGGCTGCGGGCACATCCCCAGTGGGAGATGTGCAGGAGGCGGCTGGTCGATGTTTCTCTCCCATCGATGTTTCTGACTCTCTATCTCTCTCCCTTCCTCTCTGTAAAAAATCAAAATATATTAAAAAAAACAACAAAAAACAAAAAACAAAAACATAAAGTGGAATGTTTCCTTCTCCAGCTTTAAATATTTCCCTAAGTCTAGAATAAAACCCAAACCTTTGGATGATCTAAGTGGCCTTATGTGATTAGAACCTGCTTCCCTAACCTTAATTTGTGCTACAGCCCTTTGCTCACTATCCTCATTCAGAAATCATTTATTGTGCATCTCCTATGTGCCAGGCACTGTATGAGGTGCTGGAAATATAACAGTGGACATAAAAGAAAGAGACCTGGGAAGAACAGATAAATAAGTGAGAAAATAAATAACTTGAGGGAATTCTTAATTAATTTCTGGTTCAGAGTACATGCCCCTCCTGTTGTTCAGGTAGCTACCTTCTTATCACTTGGGTCTCAGCTTAAAGGTCACTTCTTCAGAGGCCTCTCCTGGTCACCCTATCTAAAGTAGGTACTTCCTATCTTCCATTCTCTTTCAGTAAAAATTTACAGAACAAATGTATTAAATATTTGTAAACCAACTGTTTCCATCATTTTCTAGTTTTGAATCCCACTAATTCCAGGGGATAGATTAGGCTTTGACTCTTCAACATGCTTTGTTGTATCTAATATCTGGAGCAGCAACTCTCAAAGTAGGGTACAGGGTCCCGAAACCCTTCAGAGAGCTCCTAAGTTCTTACCTCTCTCTACTTTCTTCTCTGAAATCAATAAAAACATATTTTAAGAAATTTATTTACAAAACTAGGTGTGGGGTAGAACTAACACACTGGCCATGGTTTGCCAACCCCTGATATAGTAAAATAAGCTAACAATACTCCAAAGTAAAATCTTAATTCTTCCAGAGCATTTAGATTTAGCAATTCAACTCTCTTAGTTGGTATTTTCCTATTTCCTGAAAACACTTAATAACTTATACATGTTTACTTTATTTTCGTGTTTATAACTTGGGAAAAGATCCTAAGATATGACTAAATAGCTAGCCTTAATCAATAAGGTATGCCTACCAAAAGGCTGCTTCTTTGTGGACTTACAATCATATCTGAATTCTCTTTGTGCTTTGGTCAATAATTTGATGCAGAATAATCATGAAAAAGTTTACTTTTGACTTCTGCATCATTTTTTTTTTGTTAATCACTCACCTGAGGTTATTTTTTTCCATTGATTTTAAGAGAGTGGAAGGGATGGGGAGAGACAGAGAGAGAAACATCAATGTGAGAGAGATGCATTGACTGGTTGTCTTCCGCTCATGCCCTGACTAGGGCCAGGGATAGAGCCTGCAACCGAGGTACATGCCCTTGACTGGAATTGACCCTTCAGTCCATGGGCCGGGACTCTCTCCACTGAGCCAAACCAGGAAAGACGGTTTCTGCATCTTTAGAAATAGAAGATTACTGCCATCTATCTCCCACGAAGTTTGAACAGGTAATAAACAACAATTTTTGAATTCTACCACTGAGTAAACATTTCTTCTTCTTGCTGGGAACCAAGGACAAAAATAAGTGGAAAATCCTATGTTGGTAATAAGATCTAGAGTCCAATGTGCGCTACTCATGTTGCACCTTTCCCCTGATACAGGCAAATTAGTTGGGTTGCTTTATTTAGAGAATAAGATTTTTCATTAATAACCCACTGAGGATCTAAATGCCCCAGAGAATATTTTCTGATGAATACTCATTTGTAAGAGGGAAAAATCAAAGTAAACAAAATTGTAAAAAAAATGAGCACCTCTCCTACATTTCCATTCACAAAAAGAAGGCACCGTTGAAAGCAGCAGTTCTCAACCTGTGGGTCGTTCGACCCCTGTCGCCTAAGACCATCGGAAAACAAATATATAATTACATATTGTTTTTGTGATTAATCACTATGCTTTAATTATGTTCAATTTGTAACAATGAAAATACATCCTGCATATCAGATATTTACATTACGATTCGTAACAGTAGCAAAATTACAGTTATGAAGTAGCAACGAAAATAATTTTATGGTTGGGGGTCACCACAACATGAGGAACTGTATTAAAGGGTCGCGGCATTAGGAAGGTTGAGAACCACTGGTTTAAAGACTTTGCTATTTAGCCTTCCAGACTTTCTTTGTGTCACATGGATATCTACACACAATTGGTGAGTTTATGAGTTTACTTTTTTCTTTTAAGCAAAAAAGGTATCTTATTTTGTACATAGTTCTGAATTTTTTTTTCCATTTAATACCAAAGACTTTTCAATTGTTCTCTTAGTCATCTAATAAGAATATAAGTCTTCTTGCTCTGGCTGGGTGGCTCATTTGGTTGGACTGTCGTCCTGTGCAAGAAAAGGTTGTGGGTTTGATTCCCAGTCAGGGGACATTAGGAGACAACTGAGCAATGTTTCTCTCTCACATTGATGTTTGTTTCTCTCTCTTTTCCTCTCTCTCTCAAAATCAATAAAAACATATCCTTGGGTGAGGATTAAAAAGAAAAAAGACTTCTTTCTTAACATTATAGAAACAATTTTAAGAAAACAATGTTAAATTCCCAGTAAAATGCACTTCAATTCACTCAATTTAATTTTAAACAGCTTCATGATAGAAAGAGTTCCTTATATTTCCCACCATTGATTCATCTTAAATGGAAAACAAAAAGGGTTGCAACATTTATCAATATATTGTATTTTAATAGAAACATAGATTACACAGTTCATCCAAAAGTATTTCAATATAAACATCACATATGAACAAAACCAAGTAATTGATGATATTTTAGTTCTAAAAGAGTCATGGTTTTTCTAAAATACTAAGATGCCACCTCAATAGTGATCGCTTCACATTTTCCAGTCTCTTGATCTGTGCATGTCACATGTAAAGATCCATCCCTAAACAAACAAAAATAACATTTCATAAGCTCATTTTATAAAAAGAGAAAGTGCTTAAGAAATTACTTGTGGACTTTTTATAAACGAGATAATGTTAATTTTTGAAAGAAGAGTATTAAGGTAAAGAATAAATAGAACTTCAGTGTCTTTAAATTTAGAATCATATGCTATAATTAGATAGTTGTTAAAAATTTCCTCCTATTGCGCTCACCCTCCCAGGAGCACACTCGTGCCTTTCCCTTCCTCCTTTTCTTCCCCCACAGCCTAGCACAGTGATGGCGAACATATGACACGCCTGTCAGAGGTGACATGCAAACTCATTTTTTTTGGTTGATTTTTCTTTGTTAAATGGCATTTAAGTATATAAAATAAATATCAAAAATATAAGTCTTTGTTTTACTACGGTTGCAAATATCAAAAAATTTCTATATGTGACATGGCAACAGAGTTAAGTTAGGGTTTTCCAAAATGCTGACACACCGAGCTCAAAAGGTTCGCCATCACTGGCCTAGCACCTCCTAAACTCTAAGGGATTCCATGAGACCTGCAACCAGGGGAGGAGTGGACAGTGGCAGCTCATCCCGGGGGAACCCCCTGAACCTGTCTCCAAGGGGCCCCTTTTTCTGACTTCCCAGTGAGCTAAAGCAGCCTAGCCTTGGCTCATTTCTTTCCTACAGCATTTTTGGAGAACCAAAGCAGGCCTGTGTGGGCTCGCCTGTTGCTTCTTTTATGCCAAGCACTTTCTTGATTCACCGTCCCAACATACTCTCAAGTAAAAAAAAATTTCTTTTAGACCACTGAAACCAAAATTATATTCCTTGCAAACCCACAATGATAAAGACCTTAAGTTCAAGACTTTATTCAAGCTCAAGACACATCATGCCATTTTTAAGCCCAGGCCAAGGCAAACATACTCTCATAAATTCAATATTCTTGTTAAGTATGGTTTATGAAATGAATTGTCCCAAATGTTAATTTCAAAATGATCTACTTGAAAGATATAGTGTTATGGATGAACTGTTGCTAGGGAAATGGTAACAGCTGGATTTAGTCAGTAATTTATTTCCTAGAGATTTTCTGTAGCAATATTGAAATAAACTATCCTTTTAGGACAAATAATGTGAATTATGTAAACCTTGGAAAATTATACTAGTATTTAAAATTAATAAAAATTATATCCCAATTTGCATAAACTAGTTTTTTGGTTGACTACACCCAAAATATTTAAAGAGTTCATAAAAAATTTAGAATGCAAATGACCTGAGATATACTTTTCTTTATAAAATACAGTAATTCTGTAGGACAAAAATACAAATCATTAATAAAATACAAGTTTTTACTAAATGATTTTCCCAGAATGACAATGGGTGAAGAATCAAACTGACAAAAAAAGGCAAGTCTCAAAGTGAATTTTTTAAACATCAGAAGTAGTTTAATTTGTACCTTTTCATAGTTAGAACAGCTAAGATGTCATGTAATCCATTTTCTTTTTTATTTAAATCCTGGAGTATAACCTGTTTATGCAGAAATAACACAAAGATGATTCAGTATTTTGACATAATAAACAGATGCATCAGTTATTTCAATGGGCCAAATCCTACTTATTACTGAAACAAAACCTTTAAAATAGGGCAGTTTTGAATTCTCTTACCAGTTATCAAAATTTAGAGAACAGGATTAAGCTTTCTTAATTATGAAATGAAATGTATCTTACAGGAGAGCATAGAAGATAACTACAGTAACATGTAAATTATATTTTGGAAAACCTTCTATATATACTTTTTAAAAAATTCAAATGTTTTAAATACACCTTGAAAACCCATTTAAAAGAAACCTGTGGCAAATTATTTTGTACAACTAAGATTGCATTTATAAGTTAAAGATACTAATGGATTTACTATAAAATTTCTCAATTTCCTAAAGAAAGGTTAACCAATAAAGCTAGTTTGGAAGTAACTTTTCAGATTTTGTCATTATCAAGTTTTATGACCTTAGGCAAGGCACTAGGTATCTTACTTTGATCATATGTGAAAGGAAGAAGTTAGAACAGGTAGGTTCTCTAAAAGAGTCTCTTTCCAAATTCAGTGTATGTGACTAACTCTTCTCCTGCTGGCATCTGTATATAGGATATGTACATATCCTGCGGGCTTGATCTAGTAAGGGGTTCAGCCAATCAATGATTCCATCTCATCATTGATGTTTCTATCTCTCTACCTCTCCCTTCCTCTATGAAATAAAAATATATTTTCACAAAAGTACTTCATGCTTATGTTCTTTGCTGTTTATATAAAAAGAAATCAGTATGATATATAATATATAGGATATACTGAGAGTAGTTGCAGAATCTCAGAGAAGTATGTGAAGAGAAAAGGTAGTAAATGTATGAGAGAGAAGCTAAGGAATCCCAAGACTGCCACTCAAGGTTAGAAATCTGGTATAGAATAAAGTGCTTACATAGTAATACACAACAGAAACATTTAGACAACTTTTTGAAAACTCTACTAGTTGAAGGAGTCCTACACCAGTAGATTTTAAGATTAGGTGGTGCCAACATGCTATATATGTATTTTCATTATTCTTTTGTTAAAATCAGAAAATAAATTTAAAGCTAAAGATACACATTGTCTTCTGTTACCTACATTTGTTTTATTATTACATAAAAGTAATTCATGCCTGTCTGGTGTGGTTCAGTGGTTGAGTGTTGACCTATGAACCAGGAGGTCATGGTTTGATTCCTGATCAGGGAATATACCCGGGTTGTGGGCTTGATCCTGAATAAGGGGCAGAGCCAATCAATGATTCTCTCTCATCATTGATGTTTCTATCTCTGTACCTCTCCCTTCTTCTATGAAATAACTAAAAAAATATTTTTTAAAAAGTAATTCATGCTTATGCCCTTTGCTATTTATAAAAAAATTCAGTATAAGTGTTAAATAAAAAAATCCTCTTGGTATCTTCAAACCTACCCACTGTTAAGGTTCCTGAATATAGTTCAAACACCTATAGATATTTTCTGTATCCATACCTGATTATCTCTAAATACATACACCTACCCAAACACCTATTCCCTCACATGGACCCTTGCTTTCAAAATACAAAATCCTATTGTAAATATGGTTCTGCAGCCCTTGTGTGTACTTTGCTCTTGACTGAGAATTGAACCCGTGACTCTCCATCCGTGGGCCGATGCTCTAACCACTGACCAAACTGGCCAGGGCTTAATGTAACTGTATTTCTTGGGTATGTTCTAAGCAAATAACATGGCTCCTTTCACTCTTTTTAAAAGGATACAGAGGACCATATAGCATAAAATATGCATGTGGTATTTTGAAAAGCAAACTTAACCTGTATCAGAGGCAATATGGTTTAATGGCAACAGCATGGGCCCAAGTGTACAACCAACCTGAGGATAAATAAGCTCAACCAAGGAAATAATAAGGTATTTACTACCATAAACCTGTTTCTTTAATCATCTATAAAATGCACATAATTAAGTCTATCTCACAGTATTTTGAGAGTATATTTGTATAGCACCTGGCAGTTAGCAAACAAAAAATGTCACACCTTATAACCAAGAAGGGTCAAGAGCAAAAAGAGAAAGAGTATAAATATAAATTGTATTTTGCTTTTATTTTCCTGTCACTCCTTCAAATTAAAATTGCCTATTTCTTCTTACAGAAATGAATGAGAATTAATCCATTCATCACATTTTCTATTAATTGATATTAAACTGAGTCTAATCCACAAAGAAAAGCTAAAGGTTCATGTGACTAATTCATAATCCAATTTTATGTATTTACCTGTGCAAACTTGTTTTCCTCTTTTGCAGAGTTTTTCCCCTCAGATTCATAGAGTTCAAGGCATACTGAAGATATACTTCCAGGGGCTTGTAATGTGTGTTGTCTTCGAGCTGGCAACGGAGTCCCTGATGGAAACAGTACTGTGAAACTGTTGGCTCCTGATTCATCAACTCCCTAATAAGCAGGAAAATAATATGCATATCTTTTTGATTTTTATTGTTATAATGATAAAAAGTTCCTATTAAAAATGTAATATATATTTCTTGCTTATAATTGTTGCAAACAACAGATAGACAAGAAAATAGAAATGATCCTTAATCCCAACCCACTTTAAAAATAAACTGAAACATCTCCTCTACCTATATTAGAAATTTATGATTAAAATTAGTTAATATATATAGCCCTGGCTGGTGTGACTCAATTGGTTGGAGCATCATTCTGTGCACCAGAACGTCTAGGGTTCAATTCCCAGTCAGAGCACATATCTAGGTTGCGGGTTTGATCCCAGTTGGGGCACATATGGGAGGCAACTGATCAATGTAGTTCTCTCACATTGATGTTTCTTTCTCTCCTCCTCTCTCTCTCCTTTTCTCCCTCTCAAAAATCAATAAAAACAAAATATAAAAACTCATTAAAAGTAAAATTATAAATTAAAAAAATTTATTAGTATACAAAGTTTTATTGTAAAAACATGGTATGCATGCCCTAGCCAGTTTTGCTCAGTGGATAGAGCTTCGGCCTGTGGATTGAAGAGTCCTGGGTTCGATTCCTGTCAAGGGCACGTACCTTGGTTGCAGGCTCCTCCCCAGCCTGGGCCCTGGTCAGGGTGCATGCATGAGGCAACCAATTGATGTGTTTCTTTTACATCGATGTTTCCCTCTGTCTTTCCCTCTCTCTTACACTCTAAAAATCAATGGAAAAATATCCTCAGGTGAGGATTAATAAGAAACAAACAAAAGAAAACATGGTTTACGGTATCAAATTTATACCACTTTTATAAAAAAGAAAAACTAAACATACCTTAACTAAAATATCTTTGGCTGAACACTCTATCTTAAGAGAGTCTTCCACTAAAAGATTTTCTTTCCCAGTAAGAATTCCTGCTTCTATAGCTGCACCAATGGGGATAACTTCATCAGGAGGGATAGAATTTAGAAGCTCAACAGCTGGGAAAAGATCTTTAATCAATTGCTGTAGCCTTGGAATTCGAGAAGACCCTCCACAAAGGACAACCTAAAAAATAAAAATAATTTTCAGTTTTTTACTTATAGAACGATGTTTTTTTCTCAAGACTAAATGTTATATGCTGACCCATCTTTACCACATGTAATGGTAAAGTATAAGAAACCATATTTTTAGTATTATTTTATGTTATACTTACCATATAAAGATATATATATATATATGTGTTGTGTGTGTATCTCTCTCTATATATACACACACACACACATATATACATGTGTATGTGTGTGTGTATATACATTTGTGCATCGGGCCTCTAGTATATGTGTGTACACACACACACACACACACACACACACACACACACACACACACACTAGAGGCCTGGTGCATGAATTCGTGCACTGGTGGGGGGGTCCCTCAACCTGGCCTGGGAGGATCGGGCTGAAACTGGCTCTCCGACATCCCTTGAGAGGTCTGGGATTGCGAGAGGGAGCAGGCCAGGCAGAGGGACCTCACCGGTGCACAATCGGGGACAGGGAGGGCTCCAGGGTGTGTCTGGCCCGTCTTGCCCAGTGCCGATCAGCCGGACCCCAGCAGCAAGCTAACCTACCAGCCAAAGCGTCTGCCCTCTGGTGGTCAGTGCATGTCATAGTGAGCAGTTGAGCAACCTTAGCATATCATTAGCATATTACACTTTGACTGGTTGAACGGACGACCGGACACTTAGCATATTAGGCTTTTATTATATAGGAGGATATATATATATATATTTACTGTCTCTGAAAAACTTCATATAAAATTGCTCCTTTATGAGCTTGTACCCTAAATCACCTGGCTCTGAATAGGCTTGCATTCACAAGTTCCATAGAACTATAGCAAAGAAACACTTTTCAAATTGGGGACGGAACATCTCATACCCCATGGCCATACACCTGGGCTCAGATGCAGAGGAAGCAGGCAAAAAGACCCATTTCCCAGTTTCTCCCTGGAAGGGATCTGACTGCCTACTTTCACAGCTGCTGCCTGAGGGCCTGATGTCTAATCAGCCAGTATCTAGGTGCTGACTGCAATGCTCATCTTTGGTATGGTCTTGACATACGCTTAACTGGTAAGAGCCAGTGAGAACAAAGATAGCAGCTTAGACATACACAAAGGTTTGAGAGGCAAGAAGCTCAGTTTGGGCTAATTGACAAGGTTCCTCTCCTACACTGTCAAGACTAGAAAAAGTGGCAGTTCTCCATGATGCATAGAAACCAACACAGAGAATCAAGAAAAACAAAAATACAGGAGAATATGTTCCAAACAAAATAATAAGATGTATCTGTATAAACTGATCTTAATGAAATTAAGATAAGCGATTCACCTGACAGAGTTCAAGATAACAGTAATAAAGACGTTCACTGAAGGGGGTGTGAGTGGCTGGGGAGAGGTTAATGGGGGAAAAAGGAGATGTAAATAATACTTTAAACAATAAAGAATTTAAATTAAAAAAAAAAAAAGATGTTCACTGAAGTCAGGAGAGTAATGCATGAGAATTTCAGCAAAGGTACAGGAAATATAGAGAGTTCCAAATAGAAACCATAGAGCTGAAGATTATAATACTTGAACTGAAAAATTCAACAGAAGGGGTTCAACAGTACACTAGAGCAAGCAAAAGAAAGAATCAGTAAACTTAAAGATAGGGCAGAGGAAGCCATCCATTCAGAGGAGCAAAAAGGGATAAAACAGAATTAAGATAGCTTAAGGGACCTATGAGACAACAATAAATGGACTAATATATACATTACTAGAGGCCCGGTGCATGAAAATTCATGCACTGGAGGGGGTGTCCCTCAGCTCGGCCTGCCCCCTCTCACAGTCTGGGAGCTCTCAGGGGCAGGAGGCAACCCGGCAATCAGGGGAAGGCGACACCCCCATCACACCTCTGCTCTCCCACTGCCAACAGCACAAGCCTTGGCCGGCCCTGGTTACCTGTGCCTCGGGTGATGCTGGGCGGCTGGGCAGCCGCCATCCAAGGCTTGCCTGCACCTTGGGCAGGCCCTGGGTGGCTGGGGGGCTATGGGGACTGGGGGACTCCAGAGGCAGGTGCGCCAGCAGGGCTGAGGGGACTGGGCGCTGCCATCTTTGAGGGCGTGGCAGTCAATTAGCATATTCCCTTATTGGCTCTGGGCGCTGCCAACCTTGAGGGCGGAGCAGTCAATTAGCATCTTCCCTCCTTATTGGCTGTGGGCACCGCCATCTTTGTGACAGCATGAGGGTCAATTAGCATATTCTCTCTTTATTAGATAAGATAGGGGGTCTCAAAAGGAAGAGAGCCCTGACCAGGTGGCTCAGTTGGCTGGATCATCATGCTGAATAGCATAAAAGGTTGTGGGTTCGATAGCTGGTCAGGGTGCGTGTGGGAGGCAACAGATCACTGTTTTTCTCTCTCTCTCTCTCTGCCCGCTTCCTCTCTCTCTCAAATCAATAAAAACATCATTGGGTGAGGATTTAAATAAAAAGACAGAAAGAGAGGAAAGGATAGAAAGCTGGTTCAAAGAAATAATGACATAAACTGGGGAATGAAACAGACATAGAGATCGAGTAAATCCAAAAAGTACCAAAATAAGATGAATCTAAAAAGACCCACACTGATGCACATTCTAATGACATTATCAAAAGTTACAGAAAAAGAGAGAATCTTAAAAGCAGCAAGGAAAAAGCAACTTGATACATATAAGGGATCCCCCATCTATACTAATAATAAGAGGAATATGCAAATTGCCCAGGATGCCGTCACGTAATGACCAATCAGGATGGGGGCAGGGCCGCGGCAGAGAGCTCTCAGTACGCCTGTGCCAGGGGTCTGATGGGCGTGGAGAGGAAGAGAGAGCAGATAGGCAGTTAGGGCGATCAGGCCAGGAAGGGAGAGCAGATAAGCAGTTAGGGGAATCAGGCCAGGAGGGGAGAGCAGATAGGCATTTAGGGGGATCAGGCTAGGAGGGGAGAGCAGATAGGTAGTTAGGGGGATCAGGCCAGGTGGAGAGCACAGATAGGCAGTTAAGGGGGTCAGGCCGGCAGTGGCAAGCAGTTAGGCAGTTACGGGGATCAGGCCAGCAGGGGAGGGCAGTTAGGGGGATCAGGCTGGCAGGGGGGAGAAGTTAGGCAGGGCGATAAGGCCAGGAGGGGAGAGCAGTCAGGGGGATCAGGCCAGCAGGGGAGAGCAGTTAGGGGCATCAGGCAGGCAGGTGAGCGGATAGGAGCCAGTGGTTCCAGATTGTGAGAGGGATCCTGGATTGGAGAGGGTGCAAGCCCGGCTGAGGGACCCCTTTCCCTTGTGCATGAATTTCATGTACCGGGCCTCTAGTAAGACTATAAGTAGATATGGCAAAAGAAACCTTGCAAGCCAGATGATACTCAAAGTAATGCAAGAAAAAAAACTGTCAGTCAAGAATATTCTACACATCAGTTGTCCTTTAGAATTGAAGGAAAGATAGTGTTTTACATTAAAATAAAACCTGAAGGAGTTCATCACCATTAGACCAAACTTACAAAAAGAGTTAAAGGGCGTTCTTCAAGTTGAAACAAAAATGCTAATCTATATATATAAAAGGCTAATATGCAAAGTGTCCCTGTGGGAGTTTGACTGGGAGACCGGTTCTATCGCTTGCTGTGTGCTGACCACCAAGGGGCGGTGTGGAATGAAGGAAGGCCCCAGCTGGGGGAAGGGAGGCTTCGGCTGGCAGCTGGAAGGAAGGCCCTGATTGCCGGCCAGACCTACGGACCCGACCTGTGCACAAATTTTGTGCACTGGGCCTCTAGTTAGTAACATAAGAAAGTATAAAACTACCTGATAAAGGTAATTATATAGTTGAATTCAGAGTACTTTAATATTGTAATGGTGGTGGGTAAGTCACAACTCTAGTATAAAGGTTAAAAGACAAAGGCACTGAAAATAACTAACTACAATAATTTGTTAATGGATATCCTATCTAATAAAAGAGAAACATGGTAATTAGCGTACGACCGCTAGCCTTCCCACTGGCTAATCAGGGCGATATGCAAATTAACTGCCAGCCAAGATGGCGGCCGGCAGCCAGGCAGCTGGAAGCGAACATGAGGCTTGCTTGCTTCAGTGATGGAGGAGGACTCCAACGTTCCCCGCCTGCCGTGGTGGCCTCTGAGCTGCAACTCTAAGCAACTATGTTACAAATATAGAAGCTAAACAAAACCCTAGAAACCTGCTTTAGTTGCCGGGCTTCAGCCAGCAGGATCGCAACATTGTTTCAAATACAGAAGGTAAACAAAGGCCAGAAACCTGCTTTCAGCAGCGGAGGCCTAAGAGCTGGTGCCTCAGAGCTAAAGCTGGCCCAGAATAAAAAAAAAAAGAAAAGAAAAAAAGGAGCGGTTGGGAGCTTCAGTCACCCACCAGCCCGAAAACAGCCCTCAGCCCCTCACCTAGACTGGCCAGGCACCCCAGTGGGGACCCCCACCCTGAAGGGTGTGTGACCAGCTGCAAACAGCCATCATCCCCTCATCCAGGCTGACCAGGCACCCCAGTGGGGACCCCCACCTTGATCCAGGACACCCTTCAGGGCAAACCAGCTGCCCCCACCCGTGCACCAGGCCTCTATCCTATATAGTAAAAGGGTAATAAGCCTCCCAGCACCGGGATCAGCGTGACAGGGGGCAGCGCCCAAACCCCCTGATCACCCTGAGGCTCTGTGTGTGACAGGGGGCGGGGCCACAACCTCCCTATCTGCCCTGCTCTGTTCGTGACAGGGGAAGGCGCCCCGACCCCACACCCCCCCTCCCACGGGCCCTGCTCTGTGTGTGATGGGGTAGAGCCATAACCTGCCCATCGGCCCTGCCCTGAGTGTGACAGGGTGCGGGGCCCCAATCCCCTGATCCGCCCTGCTGTGTGTGACAGGGGGCGGTGCCCCATCTCCCCTATCGGCCCTACTCTGTGAGTGACAGGGGAGAGCTCCCCAACCCCCTGATCGGCCCTGCTCTGTGAGTGACGGGGGGAGCTCCCCAACCCCCTGATGGGCCCTGCTCTGTGCGTGACA